CCAAGCTCCCACAAGCAGAAGACAATTCATTTAAGAAATGAGGTGGCAAAAGCATCTTTGGCCAATCTGTTTCATGCAAACTGTAAATGACTTTAAGTGATAAATAGAGTATCTCTTGGAAAGAAAGCAAGCTTGTCTTAAAACTGTATCAGTGTTTCACTTGAGTGCATTGGGTTTGGGTTTTTTTTAATTTTATTTTCCACTGGGAAGAGATTTTTGATCGTCACCTAGATTGTCTTCTGCCCCAGATTTGTGAATAAATTATGTTCTTAAAGACACTGCAGATGCAAACTGGCAATGTTGCTGCCAGCCTCCTGCAGCCCAGCCTTTGAGGAAGGTCACAGGAAAACCTGATGGCTTGCTTTAATGTGGGGCAAGTGTCTTCATCCCCGTGTTGTGGGGCGAGTCCCGGCTGTACCTTTTTGATACTTGTCTGAGTGCAGTGAAGCTGTTAGTTGGGGGTTGGATCATTAGAGCATCTCTGGAGGAGGACATTTAATTTGGACCAGTAATCTAAAATGCAGTATTGGCTCTAACATCACACTGAGAGCTGGCACTGCTCTCGCCCCAGCACTAAGTGGGGATCACCTTGGAAAACTAAAGGAGGAAAAAAGCATGTGCTGCTCTTACTGCTGTAATGTTTTGCTCAAATCTGCCTTCTTAAGGGGAGGCAACCCTTCTGGTACCCTGCCCAGGGGTTAGGACAGAGTCATCTGGAGAGTCTGCAACTGCAAAATTTTCTCTTTCTCTAAAACAAAGACCTACACCAAGCCAAGAAGCTGATGTGCTTACAGTAGTAAATATTTATAGAGCCTTGCTCACTTGTGCTATTGAAAGCAATTTTCCTGAGATACTAATCTATTTAAAGGGAGAGCCCAAGAGTAGCATGAAATGCTTGCCTCCCTTGTCTTTCTACCTTTTCCAATGCAACTTCCAGTTCCATGTATCTGCTGCGTCCTCCTTTGGTGTGCTGCAGCACATGCAGATGCAGTTCAGGGACTTGGCAGAGCTGAGGGATGCCTTTCTTCAGCCATGAATTCCCAAAAGCAAGGGGGACTGATAGCCTGATACAAAGTAGTATCAAGTGCTGGAAGAAAATTTTCATTTCTCTTGGTGGGGTTTTACTTTTCCTATTTGTATCAGGTGTAATCTTTTGGGTGAAAGTTTTAACTAAGCTAAGGTTGGATGGGAGTTTTTCAGGTCATACTGATGCAAAGTGTGCTGTGCTGTGCATGAGTAATGTGGAAGAGGTCAGAGTTTCTTATAACACATCCTGTGTATTCCCATGGGAAAATGGCTTGCTTTCTTAGGTTTTCCTTATACCAGTTGGCAAAAGAAATAAAGGTTTGGAATTCCCTGGAGTCTTGCCCAGGAGTGTGAAACCTGGCTCTGCGGAGAGGAATTGGGTGTCTGGCATCAGGCTTGGTGACAGCAGATCACTTTGCGGAGTGACCTGTGCCAGGTCAGCTCGCTGCTCAAGAAGAGGGGTTGAGATGGCGTCAGCGTAAGTAGGAGTCTAAAGCAGGACTGGAAAAATAGCAGAGGAGTCGGCCTGAATGCTAAATTAGAGAGAACAGCCCAGACTTGTTTTCCAAGCCTCATTCATTTTGTTGCATCATGCTAGATATTGGTCAAGAAAGAGATCAGTTGATATAAAATAAGCTTTAAACAAGACTGTTTTCTTTTCCCCCAGTGCTGCGTGCCCTGAGGGCCGGGCAGGGTTGCAGAGGCAGCTGCTGGCAGCGAGTCGGCTGGTTTGGTGGTGCTGCCTGTGCCGCAGGAGCATCGCGTGGGGTTTGTAGCAACGCATCCCTTCCGGGGGATGAAAGCATGTTCTGGCGGAGAATAAATGTCAGTCTCAAAATGAGCTGTACTTGGCTGCGAGCATAGGTGATGCTCAGGTGGGGGAAACCCTGTCAACTACAGAAATCAAATTTTTAAAACTTCCCTTAACTTACTGGCCTCTGAACTGAACTGAATTGACAAGGCAGATGAGCAGCCCTGGCGTGGTAGGGCCGGGGCTAGCAACCTCTGTGTCTGGGTCCTTGGGATGAGGGGGAGGCCAAGGCTGAGCTTGAGCTTCAGGCTAGGCCTAGGAAAGTGAGCTGGGCTGCTTGGCTTCCTTGTCAACTGTAAATGGGAGGAGTATTGGGCTACAGCTCGGGAAACTGCCATGTGTTATTGGGACTAAAATAGCAAGGTACCAGCTGTGAGGTGGCTAGTAGCCGTGTTAGCTGCTGTGGTGAGTCCTGTGATTTTAAGGGCATCTCTGTGTGATGCAAGATTTCTAGCATCAGTGATCCATGGCTGTCCTGCACAGCTACAGGAGAGCTATGCTTGTGAGCTGTGTCCTGCTCAGAGTGCTAACCAGCGGAAAAAAACAGACCAAAAGGAAAAATTACATTGCGTGCAAGCTTTAAAGGGAGTCCCTTTGAGCTGTCCTGACCCACTGAATGTTTATGGAAGAGGGAAGATGAAATTTTCTAAAAAATTATTGTAGTTGCAGTTTTGGTCCTTATCAGTGAGCTTGTAGGTAGAATTTGCTTAAAAACCTGTTGTAAATTTAGTCCCTAGTCCCAGTTTGGGTCTATGCAAGTTAAAAAGTGCATCACTTTCCTCCAACCTGTGTTATCAGATACTGCTTAAATGCTGACTGTAGCTTAGAATGACAGGTCAAAACAGCTTTGCTTTTAACTCAAGAGTATGTGAATTCCTCGGGACAGTTCCATAACAGTACTGCAGGGGTGCAGTCCTCAGGATCCTTTGCCCTTCACCTCCAGCGCTCTGATGCCAAGGAGAGAAGTTCTGCACAAAGACACAGACTGCCCTGAGGCCAGTCAGCAAAACCTGTTGACTGGCAGCTGTCTGGAAATGTAAAGTGAGAGATTTGGTACTTTCCTTTCTCTGTGCTTTGGCATTTGACGTCAAGTGTGGTGGGCAGCATGTGTCTGGAGAGTCTGCCAGAGCTGCTCCATCATGGTGAGCTCTATTAATTTCCCACACAAACGATGGGCCTGCCTATCCCCTGGGAAGGGATATCTGCAGGGGCAGGTACAACCGTGCACCTCATACTTCCTTCATCTCTCATACCTTCTCTTCTGAGCACAGGCATCACTGTGAAGAACATGAAGGACTTCTACTTTGCCTTTTTATTGTCCCTGATCAGCTTTGGAGCAAGGAGCAGTTGCAGCAGGAGCTCAGGAAATTTTCCAGTGCTGTTTTCTCCTGGTTGCCCACTTTGGTCATGACCATATTGTTCTACCCAAAGACCAACATTGCTGGTTTGAAGTATGTGGTGTAGTTTCAGATGGGCACAGAGGGAGTGGGTATGTAAAACATTGCTCTGGTAACTGATACCTGAGTTATGTAAATTTGGGACAGGGAACCCACTCTGGGGATGTAGGCTGGGCAGTTTGTGAGCATGGAGCCTAACAAAAGGCATTTTTGGGTTTGTGTATTTGGTGTTTCCATTAATTTTTCTTCTCTTTCTAGTCAAGCCGAACCTCTCTCACTTTTTAAAAGCTGATAGTCGAGCAATTCCTTTCACCTCAATGGTAGCAATTTTGGAAGTGTGTGCCCTGGAAACTGTCTCTATTTCCCCCTCCTTGGTGCTTTCATGCAACTACTCCATCCATGTGCCTGGGCTGCTAACATGGAGGATGCTGAGGACTTTACTCCTTGCAAGAAGCTCTTGTGCCTAACCAGAAATGGGGCAGTTCTGAATACAGCAGAGTCTCTGGGGATTTTGCATCAGAAACAGGGCAGTGGGCTTAATTAGCCCCTTCCCTAATGGCCTGTGAGCCTGTGCTGGGGGATGATCCTGGTTCAGGAACTAGGGGGGAATTGTGTGGATGCTCCCTCCTGGTTGCAGAGCAGACTTGCTCACGCTGCTGCTTGCCATCCCTGGGGATGAAGGAGATGTATTATCCGCCTGAAAATAAATACAGATCATTCACTCATCTCTGGAGGAAGATAAAATGTAAACTATCTATTTTCTGTGATAAAGGACTGGAAATAGTTGGAATTTAAGATAATTATCTTTATCGCTTTTTATAGCACCCTGTGAAGGCTGAAATCTAATTTGTTTTTCACTAACAGGGAGCTCCAGCTGATGACTCAGAAAAATCCATTTGCCTTATTGACAAACTTGTCTGTTTGGTTATCAGGGCAGTATTCTCCTTGCAGGAGAAGGGAAATACAGGTCCTAACACAATGGTGGGTTTTTAATATGGATTCAAAGTTCGATATCTATTGGTAAGAGCTAAAAATAAAGTTGATCTAATTGGAGCAAAGTGACTCTGCTTTATTAAAGATGATTGTATATTAGTTTATGCTTTAGTGCGTGTGCAGTAATGGTGCACGGTGTTTTGTTTAAGCAACTTCAGTACACTTGAAGCTTATTAACTGGAGCTTGTAGAGAAGCTGCTTTTCCTGGGCACCTGGTGCCCCTTGGCCATTCCCAAGCCTAGGCTTTGGGGAAGGAGGTGGGAGGTGCGGTCCTGCCTCTTCCCTCCTGTGCCTGGGGCCGTGGGGAGCGGTGTGTTTGCCTCGGTTTGAACATGTTACTTTAAACTTCTCTGAATGTGAGACAGGCTCTCAGTTTTTAACAAACTCTGTGTATCTGAAGGTGTTGGGCACCCCTTGTATGAATGAGTCACTTCTCAGCACAGCTTGGTGGTGTCGTTTAGAGGGTCTTCTGCTCCTTTGGTACTATGGCTCTAAGAAAAGCAATTGTCCGTGCTGCATTCTCAGCTCTTGATAAAGGGGGAGTGCTTTTAGACTTATCTGGTCCTGTATGATACACAAGATGTGCTCAGAAAAAGAAACTGCATTCTCTGGACAAGCTTTCAGTATCAGCCGCCTCCCAAAATATCCTTTGACTTTTTCAGGCAGTGATGTTTGTTGAGAGATGGTGGATCTACAGGCTGACTTAGCAGAGATGCTTCTAAATTGTTTGTCTTTCTGGCTCACCCCCCAAAAGTCTGTAATTTAACACTGTCATGTGCGATAATGCTACAGACCACCGAATCTCCTACAGCTCGAGTCATAACAGGTTTTATCCAATTAAGAGAAGTAAGAAGCAGTCTAGGGGTTAACTATTTTTTTAGGGAGGAGGGATAGAGCTCCACAAGAGTAGTCTTTGCCTTGAAGCAGGGGTCTATTTCTATCAAGTCTCTAGCCCTCCACAAACATGTAATAGAGCAAGAGGGAGAAAACATCACTTTCTGTAAACTGAATGATAGATCTGGGTGGGCAGAGCAGATTTCTTGTCTGTCTCTGAAGATCTGCTCAGTGTTTGATCAGCTTTTATTTATTGGTTTCCTTTCAGGAATTGACTACAAGACCACTACTATCTTGTTGGATGGCAGAAGGGTCAAGCTGGAACTCTGGTGAGTGTTTCTGGGCCACTTTGGCTGTGAGCGCAGGACCGGTGAGCAGGAGCTGTGGTGCTGCTAGTGGGATGCTGTACCAAGCTGCAGAGAGCACAGAGCATCCCCAGGCTGCAGTGAGGCTCACTAGCTGTTCTTAACCAGTGAGTTACCCTAACAAACCAGACCTCTCTGTTTGTTGATCAAGTAGCACAAACAGCCTGCTGTTCTTCGCTGTAATAGTCCCATTTCAGTCTTTCTCTGTCATACCTGACCATGTTCCCATACAGCTCTCAATCACTGAGGAGACAGAACTATTTTGGAAGCAATACTAGATTTTCCTGAAATCCTAGGATGAGAAATACAGACAAGAGAATAGGAAAGGAAGAGAAAAAAATGGGTGAGGCCCCACAGAAGCTGGATATTTCTCAATGACTTGAGTAGAAAATGAAAACAAGAGTAGTGAATGGTCCTCACAGTTAGTGTCAGAGAATGGTAAACCCCTGGAGAGCAGGACTTACTGGAGTGACCTGACGCTGGGATGGAGATGGAAGACACTACATGGGAGGGGTGACTCCTGCCTTATCTGTCAGCACCAGAGGGAGTTCTGGCGTCCTTCGGGCCAAGGTTTGCCTGAGGTTTAACCTGCTGAGAAGCTGACACAGCAATCCTGTAGATGAAAGAGGAAGGATAGGTAGCCTGCCCCTGTTCCGGGTTTCACCCAGATCTAGTAGGGAATGACACAGGCCCTAAAACATGAAGTTAAATAGTCCCTTTACCAGTGCTTGTGTCAAGTAACGGCAATATTGGTAATCTCTGTGAATTGTTAAATAGGAATGAACACCATGTTCTCAGCCCCAGTGACTGACTCTAGTAGTGTATAGTTTTGTGGTTTAATTATAACCCTGCTCTCTGAAGCTGAATGTCCTCATTTTTCTTACAAAAGAACAGAAGCAGCTAATTTATCTCTTCTAGCTTGTATGTTTATATGTGCCACTTATATTCTTTCTCTTGTAAGATGTCTATTTTAACATTTCAGTCTCAAGTGTGTAGTTAATTATTGCTTACCTCTTGAAACTCTCTTATTTTTATACTGTAATTCTTGAGCTGAAGAACCAGCACAGGACCTGAAAATCTAGTAGCATTGGTTTATGATACCTTAGTGTAATCTTTTACCATTACTTTTCTTATGCAACTCCATATTTGATTGTTGGGGGAGGAAGAGATGTAAGCACAGACGGTTGGATTGCTATCCAGAATCAGTAATATGATCCTTGAAAGCTTTAGATCTGAAAGAATGACTGTCCTGAATGTGAGGTCATTGCCTTTTATGTATAGCTGGTGCAAATCTGGGGCTGAGAGATTCATCGGGCTTCTCAGTGGTCATTAATGTGTCTTTTATCCTGGCCCTGTGAATGGATATGACAAACATCATAACATGTCTAATTACCCTGACACATTTCAGTGTATCCTGATAATATCAGTGTGCTGGGCCCTGGCTTACTGTCCCAGATGTTCCCGCATGCACTGAGAGGTGCTCACAATGTAGTCAAACTTATTTATACCCCATCAAGAGTTGCAGTCAGGACAAATAATAGTGACTGAATAGCCACTTATTGTTGCAGTGGGCTGGAGATGCTGTTCCCTAGTCCTGTTCCTGAGCTCTCTGTAGGGTATGATCAACCAGGTGTGTCAGAGATCTGGGTATAAAGATATTTCCTTTCATTTTTGGTTAAAATATGTTTGGAAAAATAAGTGAAATTTACAGCGCAAGACAATTTCTCCTATATTGAGTGGTTATGTTCATTATACAATAGATCAGCTACTCTCCATGACTAGGAGAGGTCTGCAGTCTCACTGTGACTTTGAACTCCCATAGACTGTAGGGAACTAGGGAGAAAATCCTTTGCCCAAGGGAGTAAAATTACTTACATCCTCATACATCACAAGGTAGTCCTGAAGCTGAGTGGTTTTTGTTTGTACCTTCTCCATGGGAAGCACGATGACAGCAAGAACCTCTGGAGTGTGTCTGTAACCAAAGGTGGTGAGGCACCCACTGATTCTTCCCCAAAACCACTGTGCAGAGCAGTTTGGGTACCATGCATGTTCTATAGATCTGATGAGATTATCACTCATTTTAAATTTTTTTTTTTTTTTTTAGATCCAGTAAGCGATGTGCAGTATGGGATTCGATTCTTCAAATTTCATAGCTTTAACTTTTCTTTGTTGCAGGGACACATCAGGGCAAGGAAGATTTTGCACCATTTTCAGATCGTACTCTAGAGGAGCCCAGGTAAGTGCTGATCTCAGTGCTTTGATGTGACACACTTGCTTTTCCTTTAGGCTGTAAAAATCTTTCATGCTGTAGTAAAGAGCTCTGAAGAGGAACACATCAAGCACAAAAAGGGTGGGATTTGTGTAAATGCTAAGAGGTGCTGCATGTCATCTTGCTGCTTGGTATAGAGTCAATGACAGACTTTTCTAGAGTCCTGCAGAAAAGGTCTATTGCAGACTACATTCAGAATTAGCTTCTAGAGAAGGGCTGAGAAGATGGGGTTATAGAGGACAAGGCAATTCTAGCTCTAGATCTGCCTAAGCTTTAATGTGGGAGCTCATACTTTCTGAGATTTGTCAAATTTGTTTAAATATGACACTGGCTTTCCCAATGGAGTTCTTCCAGTCTGTGTTGCCTTCAAGTCAGTTCCAAAAATAGGGTGGCTCCTACTTTTGCATGTTTGATGCAGACTTGAAACTAGAGCAGCTCAATTGGATCGTAAAGTATGTTCCTTAAAACATAAGATGGAGCGTTACATCTTGAATTTCTTCTTTGGGCCCTACTCCAGAATAGCATCTAGATTCTGAACAGCAGAAAACTTGTGGTCCTCTGAAAAATTGCTGTTTGTTTATAGTGCTTTCTTACAGCTTTACAGTCATCCTTTTAGTAACATGACAAGGTTCCTCCAGGATAAAGTCTCCCTAAGTTAAATGAACTACTGTTTTTTTCCTTTTGTTTCCAAATTGGAAAATCTTGGAGAAAATTCCTCCTCACTTAGACACTAAGAGTCGGAAACTCTATATCAACCTCCTGACTGTGCCAGTATCCTGGCAGCTTCCCAGCCTTTGGGAAACTTTGCCACTTTTATTCAAGCTCTTGGCTTTTTGCTCCTTGTAGCTGTAGACCTTTGCTTTGCTAACTGGCAAAATCTATCATGCTCTCTCTCTAAAACTTCCTGCAAATTCGGTTGTGCTGTAGACATGAGAGCACTTTGCCTGGGATGTGCTGTTGATATCTCCTCCAGTGTCTCATTTATTCTTGTTTGTGCACATCTCGGGGGTTGTGGATGCTTTGAGGCAGTTCCTTTGAAGCTGAGGCCAATTTCCTGGTGCTTGCAGAAGTGCAAGGCAAGGAGTGTTCGACTGTGCCTTCTGCAGTGGGAGAGTACGGGATCTCCCATTCACATGCTCAGTCCCATGTGTGACTTTGTTTCCCTCTGCCTTTACTACACTTCAGAAAAATCTAGAGATCCAATCCTAATATAACCTGTGGGCTTGAGACCATGTCACTTCCCTTACTAGTTATAAATGAACAGAATCAGTCAGTGTGGTTTTCTGATGACCACATAACTTAGTTTTGGTCAGTCTTTTTCTGAGACCTTGTTGTGTCAGGTGCCCAGACCAAACGGGGAATAGAAAGCAACAGGCTTTCCAGAGCTTTTAACCCTGTCTGCAGCATGACCTGCTCTTCCAAACTGTTGTACAGAAGACTTCCTCCCCTTCATGTAGACTGTGAGCTCCTCAGAACAAGTGCTATGTCTCCACAGGGCTGCACGCAGCAGAACCTGCACCCACGTGCCAAACTTGTAGCTGCTGCCACCACACAGTGAACTGGGCAGGCAGGAAAGGTAAAACAAGTAGTGATGAGAATACTTGAACAGGATGGAGAGACAGGTACACATCTGTCTAGAAGGGTTCCTGCCCCCTGTTTTCCCTGGCACTACATTTGACACTGGATGCCATAAGGTGTCATAAGGCTGACCTTAAGCTTGAAACGGATTGCTTTTGTCTTCATTCCTCAAAATAAAGTTCTTGACCTTCTTTGCTTTGGAGGCAACACCTTGCCCTTCTGCTGTATTTATCAATATTGCTTTAGGAACTCACACCTGAACATCTGCAAGGCTTGCCTCATCCGTCTTATCTGCTTAGCTCTCCCAAGGACTCTGTCTGAGAGATGTTCACAATAAACCTCATCAGCCAGGGAGAGGGACCTTTAATGTGAATGCTTTATTGCTGAATGCTGGGGTATGGGGATTGCACAGCAAGGTGTAGCGTACGCCTTTTCCTCAAGGCCTGCATTCTGCTTGTGCAGCAAATGCCTTTTCCACAGTACTGTTGTGATGACTAAATCCTGATCTGCCAAAATAGTCAAGCTTTACCTTTAAAAACCACAAAACAGCCCTAAACAGCAATCCTGCCTGGTAGGAGGAGGGGTAATTCCCAAGTGAAATATCTCCACTGCCCTCTGAAAGTGTTCATGAGATGAGCACAGTGAAAAGATGGTGCCTCTTGAAGACTGATGACTGGAGTCCTTATACCTGGAGATCTTCAGGTGGCTTGGAGTAAAACTTAGATTTGTTTCAGCATCAAGTGATTGGTTCTCATGTGGCGATACAGCAATATTCCTGTATAAACAGGAATACAGATAATGTCTCTCAAATTTAACTCACCACAACTTTCAATGGAAGTGGAAGCATCTTAACTTAAACTCCTAATGGTTAACCAAAGCAAGAGGACTGTGTTGAATAACAAATGCCTGTATGACTGCAGGAATGGACTTCAACACCCCCAGTTATTTTCAGTATGCAGAAGCTAACTTCTTGCATAGCATTAGCATAAAGACAACTTAACCCTTGAGGGAGAAAAGAGAAAAAATGTTCGTGAGTTCTCTTTATTTTTTCAAAATGTATTTAATGTTGTGTGCTGTACTGACTTCTTTGCTTTAGCTGTCTGCTTTCCTCTCTTGGTATCATCAGACTTCAAGACTTCTGCTGTAGGAAGCCTGATGCAAATCCATTTGGAGGAAAGAGAAGCAGCTTTTTTAACCTAACAAGCCAAAAGCTCAGCAAGAATAAATACAACAGAGAAGAGAGGTGGTGGGAAAAGTTCTATTTAAAGTGCAGTGTGGTATTTGTAGAAGAACAGCTTGGTATAAACTGGCCACGAGCACCTTCGCACTAAAGATTAGCAGAAGGCTTTCACTGAATAGAGGACTGAGACTGAGCTGAGCTTCCCGTAAGGAGCTGAGCTTCCTGTAAGGAGCACAAGGGGAGCCTGAAAAATAAGTTTCCAAAGAGGACTTTGACAGATTAGCTGTGGGAGCAGGAGGCTGGCCTCAGCAACCTGGCAGCCCTTCCAGGGGTGACTGAGAGTGGGGTGGGTCTATCTGAATAGCCAGTGCTTAATAGAGTACTTGGTATGAAAAGTGGCTTCAAGTGGGGGAAGCACACCTCACTTTCCCCCCCTCCCCCCATTGTTTCTCAAGTGTCATGATAAGAATTGAATCTTCTGAGGTAAACCCTGGAGAGGTTGCAAAGTGAAAAAACAGTCTCCGAAGAGGGAGCAGACCTTCTCAGGAATTTTCCTTTCCCCCACAGCACAGCCTCATGCATTGCTCAGTCTGGACTTCAGGCTAGTCCCTCCTCGGTGAAAGGACTCTCCTTGAATACCTTGATGCCTTCCCCAATTTAGGCTCTGAGCCACTTGCCTGGCTACATATCCATGTGGCTTTCTTGCTCAGCAGGAACTTCTTTCTCTGGAAAACATCTAAAGTCAATTAGCTTCACTGTCCTTGATGAGCTGGCTTCAAATGAGGATCAGTCCCTTCTTTCAGCCAAGGCAGACCAGCTGTGTTTGCCTCAGGATTTGCTGTGAGGATCACAGATCTGTTTTGCCATTTTGCCCTGCATAGCTGATCTGATCTCATTAGGGTTATAATGAGCAATTTGGCTCAAGGTGGAGGCTTGTGGCATACTGGTGTGCCTGGGACCCCCCTCCTTTTTTCTTAGTGCTTTGCTGGGGTTTGAATTTCTGCTTTCTTATCACAGCTGCTTTTATCATCCCTTCCCTCTTAAGGTCTGCTGGGACAGCATGTCCTGACCATGTTGCTTCAGGGTCTTGCTTTGGGGCAAAAGAGGAGCAGTTGTGTCTGGGATAGCAGAGCACTGGCCTCTAGGCGCTGGTAGGGCAGGGAGAGTGTGCAGGCCCTGTCATGGTGACTGCAGGGCCAGGGGAGGGGAGGGATGGAAACCCAGGAGTGTTGCAACCTGCAAAAGAAACTCGAGGAGTCTGGAACTTGCTGTGTTGCAGAAGCATTTTTATATTGTGACAGTGTAGTGCATGGTGCAAGGTATTTATTGATACTTAAAGGTGCTTCAGAAAGCTTTCATTTTGCTCTTGGACTTCTGCTCTTTGGCTTTTTCTGCTTGGCTTTAAGGTCTCAATCATACTGACAGCAGAGCTGACATACTGATCTCAACTGTTGTGTGCAGGCGTGGCTCTTCTGGCTGCTGTGAGCAAATGCAAGCTGTTCCAAGAGTCATCACGGAGGGGAGAAAGAGAGTTGTGGTGGTGCTTTCAGATCTAGCAGGGAAGAAGCAGTGCTAGTATCATTCCTGATGTCCTCATGTGCCAGTGATTTAAACTGTTTCTGAAAATGTGGCTTGCCAACTCTTCCCAGACAGTGTGATAACAGAAGGTCCTTCATGACTTCAGACTATCTACAGGAATTGTTGAAAAATGCTCCCATCTTACTGCAAAGCTGCAGCCCTAACAGAATAATGAATATTGTTGAGTTCTGCTTAGGCAGGTGATTTGGGTAGCTGCTGTTTATCCTGTTCAGGGCTTCTTACTATGCAGGGAGGTGGTAGCTTTTTTGGCAGCTCAGCAGACTCTGAGATGTAGACTCTGCTCTACCTTATGGCTTTCTTTTTTGCGCAAATACCTTACCTGCTCCGGATCATTTTGATGGGGTTGTCCAGCTGCTGGAGAAGTTCCCCCTGCCTGCCAAAATGTTTATCAAAAGCTCAGTGATAAATAAACCCCCACGATGTGTTATGCTGTTGGGAAGTGGTTAGGCAGCAGGATGTAGTTGCCCGTGAGCTATGTGGAGCCCGTGCTATGTGGAAAGGCATGACCAAACATAGCTTGGAAAGAGCAGGCAGGAAAGACAAGGTGTTCTGAAAAGTGTCAACTGATCTTTATAGTTTACTTTGTCCTGTGAGCCAGAGAAATCTAGTCTGGGGGTGGGGGGTCTTCCAGGCTTCTTCAATAACAGAATAGATGGAGAATGCCAGCGAGTGACACTTTCCTGGCCACTCTGTCACCTGCCTGCACTGAGCTGAGCCTTTTGCAGTTGTGCGAGCACTTGCTTCCTCCCAGCAGTGTTCTTGCCTGCTTGTGCAAGCAGCTGGACATCCAGCTCCTAAAGCATCTGAGGAACTTTGTCACAGAAGTCTGCTTTGCACTGATGGGTGAGCATGCTGCTTCTCTCTCACCTTTGAAAGCTTACTGCTTATAAGCCTGGTTGAAACCTGCAGCAAGAAGACAGAGCTGATACTTCCCCCCCACATCCCCTTGGTTATGTGAACAGATCTTTGTGTAAACTCCTGTTGAAAACAAGTTTGGGTTTTGGCAGAGTAAGTGTCCACGTGTGCTGCTAGATACAATAACGGATTATCTGTCCATGTTCCTTGTTTACTACACGATGTACTCATGTGGAAATTTCTGACACTGGTATGCTTAGGATCATGCCAATCCCAGTAGTGTGAAACAAAAACAGTGGAAATGAACTTTGAAAATCAATTGTCAAAAGACCCAAGACAGGTCTGGGGATGAGTCCAGTCATCTTCCACCTCACACAGAAGCCTGTAGGCAGGTTAAGGAGAAGAAGAAGAAAGGCTGTTGGAGGGTTGGTGGGGGTCCAGAATACTCTTGATCTGAGAACCTGAGTGTGCAGCTTTTCACTCCATGCTGTGGGAACATGGGGTACATAGTGCTTACAAAGGTGCTTTGTGAAACTAAAAATTGAGAGGTATGGAGCTACTATGGTGTTGACAGCCATCTAGGCACTAGAGAACAATTTAGGCTGCAAATGGGAAACTGTTCATTTGTCTAGTTGAGTAAATTAAAATTCTGTGCACATTAGTCCAAAGGAGACTTTTTTAAAAAGGCTGAAAAAAAAAGACAGCTCTTATTTGGAACTGTCTGCAGAGCTGGAGCCAGCTCCCTGTCTGCATGCATGGCTGCATGCTGTTCTCTCTAAGGGAGAAAATGGTAATTACAAAGTGTATTTGGGATGTGTGCTCTAGAAATGTGGTGTCTGGAGCATGCCAGCGCTACTTGGAAGAAATACGAGGTTATCTGGCAGCACCATGAGCTGGCCAGAGGTTTTTAAGACTTCTACCTCCATCTTCAGCTGAGTTACAGTAAAGCTGATCTTAATACCCAGGCTGGGGAGGATGAGGACAGAAGCAAGGCATTAGACAACTTGGCCTTGGTGTCTTCTGACCTTTGGGAAGCTTTCCTTTCCTTAACTCTAAATGTCATGGAGCTGTGTTATGACTTGGAGGGTATGCTGGCAGAGTGTGTTGTTTCTTGCCTTTAGAAATGGTCTTGACCTTCCATCCTGCTCCTGAGAACTTGGGGCTGCATTTTTGCTGATGTTTTATCCTTATTCCTATTTAAAGAAGATCCAGGCTGCAGCTGCCAGCAAGCTTAAAAACTCTCTCCTCCTGGAGCATATTTCTGGCAGAAGCAGTCTTCACAAACTAGGTCTTGGGTCTGTTTCTCTTGGCTAAAGGAACTTGTCAATCCAGAAATAAAGTAAGTAGACTTTATTTAACTTACTGTCAGTTTGTCTTGGAAGGGGGTCATCAAACTTTTTGCTTTGTTATTTCCTGACTCTCATTCATTCACATGTGCAGCCTTGGAAGTTAGAAGTCAAAACAAATATAACAAAAATGAAATAAGCTCAGAGTCTTTTTTTCTTTTTTTTTTTTCTCCCCCCAAAATGCACATAAATGTGATGTATCCTGGTAGTAGGTATTTCTTGATTGGGTTCTTGAAAGCAGTATCTTTGGTTTTGTGGGTTTTTTAACTATGGAAAATAATTACTTCTTATTTTTTCCTGTCTAAACCTAGGAGAAACCAATTCTCTTCTTATCCAAAACAAAAACAATCTCCAATTGTTTTTTGAATACAAAGGTTTTTGTCTGTTCTAGAAATGACACTGCAAAAAATGACAGACTAGTCATGAGCTCCAGACTTTCCTTTGAGAAAGATGAAGATGCATCTGCTTTCCCCACCCCATAAATACTTCTGCAGTTATGAAAACTCATCATCAGGTCCCTCAGAACAACCTCAAACCCAAACTTTGAAGGGCTTACTCTTCACATTGGGCTATCAAACATGAAGACCAACCCACCGAGCATAACTTGCCTTTTGTAGCCTCTCCCCTTCTGTTTTTGTACATTTGAGCCTTTCGGAAAATGATACAAATGCAGATGCGTAGATGTTGGAGGGCCAGCAAGGACGCAAATCTTTGTGTGGAGAATGACTGCCCGCGGTGGAAGAGCTATGCAATGAGGCTGGGGATAAAGCTCAAGAATCAGAATTGTTCTGACCAAGACTTTTAAAAATTATAAAACTGGGCGGGCTTTGTCAGAGCTACTTATTCTGACAGAGCTGTGAGAGAAAGGCAGACGATGTTGAGGCACACCCAGCATACTCAGCTTTTCCAAGTTGGGGGAACACTTCAAGTGCCAGCTCAGTGTCTTTATTATGAGGATTCAAGTGCCTTTGTGGCTCAGGTGCCCTGGCATTTGTCATTCCCGTGTGCTCCAGATCTCATGCAAATGATTACTTTTTCATAAACTTGAGGTGTACCATGTATATGCCTTCTGTACAGGTTTCCCCCAGTTCATCACAGGCTTTGACAGAAGCAAATATTGTAAAGCTGTGTTCCAGGAGGGCTGGGTAGTTTGCATTTGCCATCTGTGTAGTGGATCTTCTATTTCAGTGCATAAAGGAGCAATTCCACTGGTATGTGAGAGGGCTTGATGGTCTCTGACTTTTACCAGGACAGATGCTATGCAGTTTGTCAGCTCGCTCCTTCACTGTGCTGTATCTAGGTATCTCTTAGGGAGGAGGAGGCTGCCAGCTGAGACTTTCCTTTGCTAACTTAAGATGTCTTTTGCTTGCACTGGGGACTTGCTGTAGGGACGGCTGTTCCTGGAGGGTACCCCTGAATCAGAGAAGACTGGTTCTGCTGACCTTGTTGCTAAATGATCTGTTATCCTGGAGGCTAGCACAGGCAGGTTTGTTTTGCCCTTAGCTTAGTCTTCCTGCTGCTGGGTTACCTTTCATCCGTTGCTGTGTTCCCCGCTGGGGTGCCTCCTCCCACAGTGCGAGATCATCTGTTCTTCCTTAGTTCCCATTTCAGGGCATCTTTAACTGCAATTCTGCAAAGTAACCTTGAAGTGCCTGTTGTCACTTGAAATGTCCTTGATTGCAAAGAAGAGAGTGACAAGAAGTCAGAAAAATAAGGGGAGAGTTGCAGAAAGGCTGCTGCTTAAGACAATTCTCTAAATGCTTTATGTACCCAGCTGGTACTGAGAGGCAGCTCCTGATGTGTTGACTTGTGTGCCTGCAGGGCTGTGCATAGCCTACTTCCCTTGTGTCTGTCCTCAGAAATACTTTGATTCAAGAAAAGCTCGCTTGGCAGGAGTTGCTGTGGACCTGAGTGGTGTCCAGCACTCTGGTTGTGGCCCCAAGTCCTGCTAGCTGGGCTTGTTGCAAGGGTGGAGGCTCTGCAAGGCACTGCTTCATGTCATCATAGCTGCAGGCACACCAAAACAGCTCTGCCTTGAGTTTTGCCTGTCCTGGTTGCTAGCATCATTGTGCTGCACCTCGAGAGGTGACTGGGAAGTGAATTGTGGATGTGGGTGGTGTTCAGGGAAGATGGCTCTGGGCCTGAGGATGCTGTAGGTACCTCTCTTTCCAGAAGAAAGCCAGGGGGAAGGTCCTACAGCGAGACCTTTGATCTGTCCCTCTAGGAGTTGCCAGTATCATGTACTTTGTTCACTCTCTGCCCGTGGGGCAGTGACAGGAACACTGGCTGCCTTCGGCAAAGCCCAGAGTGGATCCTGGTCATGAGGTCTCAGTCCTGCAGAGATGCTGTGTTGCTTATTGGCATCACTCACCTTTTTCCTTGCCAGCAAAGGGATGATAGAATGAAGCACGTTCTGGAGAGGGAAAACATGTGGAAGATGGGTGTGCTTTATTAACTTCATGTTCTACTACCATCCTACCACTGAATGCAGCTGTTCTGCATAAGGGGAAAAGAAAAAGACTGTTTCTGCCTCGGTGAGTTGGTATCAGATTTGTGACAGGAGGAAGGTGTGTTTTGTTCCATTTTGTTCCTTCAGATCCATTTATCAAGGCAGTTCCTCCTCCTTTAGTAGAGACTGCTGCTTTGGAAATTATCTGAGGGATGTTCAAGCCAAAACTGGAGTAAAACTTTCCCTAATAGTCTAGAACTGTTAGTACAGACCTGTTGTCTCAATTTTTGCTCTGGCAAGCACACAAATAATGCAGCTGGAGTAATGTTCTGTCCCTTACCCTTTTGGTTTCTGCATATGGAGGTGGTCTCTCAGGTGTGTCTCCCTTTCATTTTGTCTGCTGTGAAACTTCCTGATTGCTTCTGATTTTCTTCCACCAGGGAATTCTCTTGGTGTACGACATCACTAATCGCTGGTCCTTTGATGGGATAGACCGATGGATAAAGGAAATAGATGAGGTAAGTTGAATGGAAGAACACATGCAGTGACCTTTAGCAAAAATTTGGGGAGGTGTCACCTGAGGTGCCACTTCTGATACAGGGACAACAATGGCTCTGCTTTGGAGAGGAAATGATGACAGTCTGCTGATCAGCAAAGCAGGGGGATAAGTGTCTGCCCCCCACCTCTTTATAAATCCAGAGTGGTAGGAAAGGGTTTGGGAATGGTCTAGCAAGGTTCCCTCTAAAATGGACTGTGGGAGGGGATAAATTAGTCTTCTTTGTCATGTTGTAGTACTGCTTGGCAGTCCCTCTCGATCACAGAACAGTTTCTACTTCTTTGCCTTTCACTGCTATTGCAGCTAAGCAGAATGTTGGGTGTAGGCTGCCCTTGCTAAGGACAAGCCATGATTTCTCCACTTCTTTCCTTTTCTAAGCATGCCCCAGGTGTCCCTCGGATCCTGGTGGGAAACAGGCTTCACCTTGCCTTCAAGAGGCAGGTGCCAACAGAGCAGGCCCGGGCTTACGCAGAGAAGAACTGCATGACGTTTTTTGAGGTCAGCCCCCTGTGCAACTTCAACGTCATAGAGTCCTTCACGGAGCTGTCCCGTATCGTCCTCATGCGGCACGGCATGGAGAAGATCTGGAGGCCCAACAGAGGTGAGTGGTGAGGAAGGTGCTCCATGTGGGGAAGGCATGAGAGCTGTTGGGGCTGAAATGGAGGGGTAGGACTGACTGCCTAGGTGGGAGATGTGTTTATTAGTAACTGTGGGATCTGAAAGCACCTGACAGGCAGAAATGCTTCAGGCCAGACAAGCTGAAGCTGAGCCACAACAAGCTGCCTGTGCTAGTGCGGGCAGCCGGCAGGCAGCGGTGAGGGATGGCAGCTCCAGAGGGCAGTTCAGTGTGTCTAGGATCTGAATTGCTTGGGGGCATCCTACACCTCTCCACTTTTTCTGGTTGAGGCTGAGGGCAATTAAGCTCACAACTTGAAAGTACTTCAATCAAAGGGCTGTGTGGGATGAATCCACACTTAAGCATTTCTGTCCTTACCCTTGCCTGAGCCTGTGCCTCCTGTTTTGGAGGGGCATGGAAGCAGAGTGAGCCCAAGGAGCTGAAAGGAACCAAATCACATCCCTGCTGTATTCCATGTATCCAGGCACGTGTGCTGCAGTGTGGCTGACCGTGAGGAGGCTCCATGTTATGTATCAGCCTGTTGTGTTTGAAGCAAAATAGTCTTAGGTTCCACGTTCCTGGCTGGAGGTAGCAGTGTGCCCCACTGGCAGTCTGAGCAGCAGGGGAGCTGCACTCCTGGTGACCTACCTTCATATGGATCCTCAGCTCCTGCTCACGAGGAAGGGAAAACCCTGTTTGCCAGCCAGCCCCAGTCACCAAATTGTCTGCCTGGGCTCCAGTCCCGGACCTGACTGCCGTGCCCCTGTCTCCAGCTCACAGAGGGATGGCGAGCGGGATCTGGCTGCACTTGCAGACATCTCCTGAACCTCTTCCAGAGGCAGGACTTGTAACTGCTGCCTGCCCGAGGCGGGGAGGCTAGGGGCTGCCTGCCTGCCCGGGGACGGGGGGTTAGGGGCTGCCTGTCTGCCTGCCTGGGAGCAGCAGCGTGGCTTTCAGGACAGACTGGAGGTGGAAGCGTGCCCTCGTGTGGCCGCTTGCTGGGAAATCCCCTCCAAACAGACTTGCCAAAGCAGGCTCACATGATAGGCGCTGAGCTGAGAGGGTGCTGGGAAGCCTGAAAGGGCAGAGGAGTCTTCTGGCTTGGTGGGATCTCTTGCTGCAGGCACGCTGCAGAGAGCCGGCCCCGTGCTGCTGCTCCCTGAGCAGGCCCCAAGTGACACTGTCCTGCTTTGGGCCTTGCTGACCCTGTTGCTTCCCCCCCCCCCCCCCCCCCCCCCCCCCCCCCCCCC